ACTGGAATAGGCTGCCCAGGGAAGTGGTTGAGTCCCCATCCCTGGATGTGTTTAAGAAAAGGGTGGATGTACTGCTTAGGGACATGGTTTAATGGAGGATTAGGGATGGTTGGACTGGATGATCTCTAAGGTCTTTTCCAACCTAGAAATTCTATGATTCTATGATTCCCTTTTGCTACATGACATAGGCTGACATGCTGCAACGCAAGGAACTTTCTTTGACCCTCCTTGCTAAGGTTACACTTCAACCATGCAATGCTGATACTTTAAACAAGTTCCTATCTCCAAGGTCTCAGAGCAAGTTCCTGAGGCTAGAGGAGGGAAGCACTAGGAATCCTTTTTTTTTCTGAACAAAACCTTTTGGGATAAATATTTTCTTCTGGAAAATGGAGCCCCATCATCACCGTAATGCTTCGCAAAATTAAATTCATCTTTCCAAAATTCCGTCTGGGGAAAAAGAAAGGAAAATAGTGTGGAAAAATCTCACAAACATTTCAATTTCTTCTTTTGAAACTGCTTTTTCTTTGGGGCATTTTAGAAATAGTTTCTCATATATTACAAGGCGAAGTGAATTGATTCTGTTGAAGTAGAACATTTTGATGGATCTAAAACAATTTTCATTCCTTTATTGTATTTTGTGAGGAGAATAGCAACATGGTCTGGAGAGTTGCAGTGGTTTTAGATGCTGCTAAGAATCTGAACAAAACCTCAACTTTCTGTGACTTTGAAAATCATGAAATTCCCTCTAAAATAGAGTGTTGTCTTTTTGCACAGTCCAACTCAGTCCCTCTACATTCCATTAAAAAGCATAGAAGAAAATTAAGGAAAAAATATAATTTTGAGTTATCTCAAGCCCATATTTTTGTCTGAGTACATTTTTTAATTATATCCTTTTTTAAACAAACATTATTTTCTTTAATTCAGAAAAAAAAAAAGACATTTAGGAAAAGAACACTGAGCTCTTTTGATTGACAATGTTAAAATGAACCATTTTGACTTTGCCTTAAATTTACCTGCCTTTTGGACTTTTAACCTACATTGCCCTTTTTTGTTTGCTTGAGTTTCCATGCCAGTGGAGCATTTATCCAAATCTAGGGATGAAATGGAAGTGGGATTAATACACCATAGCAGATGAAGAGGGATGGAGTAAGAGCAGGAACACAGCTGTGGTCTTCCACGAAGGATCTGGGGAGTAACAGAGGAGGCAACATCTTCAAAGCCAAGGAAGGCTGATATCAGAGTGTTGGGGTCCTACTTTCTTATCAGTCAGCAGAGCTGTATTACTTCACCATCTTGCTTCTTCTTCCCCAGGGGATCCAGTACCTGATTGAGCAACAGGTATTGTCCTCAGACCTGCAGGAGATCGCCAAATTCCTCCACAAGGGTGAAGGCCTGAACAAGACAGCCATCGGGGATTACCTGGGTGGGAGGTGAGCAACCCAGCGAGGATGAGGAGGCCCTTTGGAGGCCCTGTCCTTCCTGATCCCTCTCAACTATTATTTTAGATGACCCTGGCAGACTTCAGTCAGGTGCCAAGACTGAACATACCTCAAACTGCAGTGGGCTGTGTGGGCATTGCACCCCAGGGAAGGGACCCTTTGGAGTGTGGCTAAGGCTGGCTGCATGGGCTACCTGTCCTCCTGCCTGTTGTGGGGTCAGTCTTCCCAGACAAGTGCATGCATCTTGGCTTCTTACTGGTCAGACGGGAAGTGGAGGCTGGGATGGAGCCAAGTGCATGTCATCACACCAAGGGGCATCCAAACTGAGCAGAATCAAATCTCTCTTCTGACCTTTTCCCTCTCTCCTCTCCCAGGGACCCCACAAACATTCAGATCCTCCAAGCCTTTGTGGCATGTCACCAGTTTGCCAATCTCAACCTGGTGCAGGCACTGAGGTGAGTGAGCATGCAGGATGCAGAAGATGGAGCAGGAGGCTGCTCAATCACTGGGTCTTACCACCCAGGAAGGCTGTGAAGCCCTGCTGGGCTGAAATGAGGCTTTCCAATGCCCTGCTGTGTGTGTTGACTCTAAGACTGTTGCTCTGTGAGGTGTTAACACCTTTTCCTGGGGGAACTCTTTCATGGCCCCTTGACTGGACTGGCCATATGCAGAGAAGATGGGGAAAGCAAGGTGAAGCATCATGGCTTCAACACTTGGGAGGATGGGGCCAGTTATTTTTTGCACCAGGAATCATAGAATCATAGAATGGGTTGGGTTGGAAGAGACCTTAAAGATCACCTAGTTCCAACTCCCTTGCCACGGGCAGGGACATCTTCCACTGGATCAGATTGTGCAAAGCCTCATCCAACCTGGCCTTGAGCACTTTCAGGAATGAGACATCTACAACTTCTCTGGGCAACCTGTTCCAGTGCTTTGTCACCCTCAGAGTGAAGAATTTCTTCCTTAGATGTCTAAATCTACCCTCTTTCAGTTTAAAGCCATTGCCCCTTCTCCTATCACTACATGGCCTTGTAAAAAGTCCCTCTCCAGCTTTCTTGTAGACCCCTTTTAGGTACTGGAAGATTGCTATGAGAACTCCCTGGAGCCTTCTCTTCTCCAGACTGAACAGCCCCAACTCTCCCAGCCTGTCTTCACAGGAGAGGTGCTCCAGCCCTCTGAACATCTTGATGGCCCTTCTCTGGACCCACTCTGATGAGTCCAAGTCCTTCTTGCATTGGGGGCCTGAGAGCTGAATGCAGTATTCCAGGTGGGGTCTCACAAGAGCAGAATAGAGGGGCAGAATCACCACCCTCAACCTGCTGGCCACGCTTCTTTGGATGCAGCCCAGGATGTGATTGGCTTTCTGGGCTGCCAGTGCACATTGCCGGCTCATGTTGAGCTTCTCATCAACCAACACCCTCAAGTCCTTCTCCTCAGGGCTGCTCTCAATCCCTTCTCCACCCAGCCTGTATTTGTGCTTGAGATTGCCTCAATCCATATGCAGGACCTTGCACTTGGCCTTGTTGAACTTCATGAGATTTGCACAGGTCCACCTCTCAAGTCTGCCAAGGTCCCTCTGGATGGCATCCCTTCCCTCCAGTGTGTTGACCACATTGCACAGCTTGGTGTCATCAGCAAACTTGCTAAGGGTGTATGTCTGTCCACACTGCCCATTATATCAGTGACAAAGTGACTCTGTCTTAGGGCATCTTGTTTTCTTATAGGTCAGCCTTCTGGCAGGACTCTTTCTCTTGAGGTCTTTGCTGCCTTGCAGGGTACTCGTTAGGGAAGAGGAGCTGTGATTTCTAGGATCCTTAGTTCTACGTCCTCCTTTTAGTATATTTGAGGCTGATGAGTCCAGGCGATTTCTAGAGAGAGGAGGAGACCTGCTTCATGCACTGTGCTGTCTCCTCAGTGTGATGGGATGACTTCTTTTATTTTCATGGTATCTCTTGGGTTAAGGGAAGGGATAAATGTCCCTTACACCCAATCTGACTAGCTTTCTGGCATGCTGATTCTGATAGGCAGTTTCTATGGAGCTTCCGGCTGCCTGGGGAAGCACAGAAGATTGACCGGATGATGGAAGCCTTTGCCAACTGGTACTGCAAGTGTAACCCAGGAGTGTTCCAGTCTACAGGTAGTTATGGGGAGAAGAAGAAGGCCTATAAAGCTGACCTCCACTTTCTTGCTAGAAAGAGGAGCCCTCCTTTTCCGTTCACAAAGCACAGAGGGCACCACTTGGAAGTGTGGATGTTTCCCCTTAAGCTGAAGGAGGCAGCCTGCTTCCTGTGAAGCTTTTCAATAGACTGAGGTTCTTCAGTCCTCCTTTTGCCACTGTGCTCCAGTCCATCACCATGGGCAATAGACTTGAGAAGTGCTCTCAGCCCCACATGAGGAATACCTCATTGTGACAAGGATAGCACCGACAGATATGGCTCTGTAGAAACTTTCCTGCTGGCGAAGCCATTATCAAACCAGATCTAACTAACTGGTCCCATTACCCTGAAGGGAAGGAATCACTCCCATCATAGGAGATCAACTCTCCTCTAGCCCTGTCTGTCCCTCTGACTCCTAGCAGACACAACATCTCCCTTTTTCTCCTACAGTGGAAGGGATGAGGTGGTTCTCCAGTGACTGGAAGCCAAGCCACCTGTTAGGATGTGGATTGGTCTGCCCTCTAAGACAAGTGCCACCCATCCAGGTTTTCTTTCTCATTGCCAGATACCTGTTATATACTCTCCTTCTCTATCATCATGCTTAACACCAGCCTGCACAACCCCAATGTGAAAGACAAACCCCCCTTTGAAAGGTTTGTGTCTATCAACAGAGGCATTGACAATGGAGGGGACCTGCCAGAAGAGCTCTTAAAGGTAAGATCTCCCATTTTCTCATCAGTCCCTCTTTTCTCTCTGGCTTGGGGTCCACTGAGAAGCAAAGGTTCACAGGTCTCAGCATAATACAGGCTTGCTGACCTTCTGCTGTACAAGGGAAAGGGCTGGCTGTGCAAGGAAAGAGGGCAAGCAACGCTGGAAAATTTAGAAACTGCTTTGGAGAGAGGGCCTGCACACATGCTTGTTGGTAAGGGCATTGAGCAAGAAAGATGAGGCTGGAGACATTCAGAGAATAGTTGTATCGTTTTAAGAAAGTTTATGCTTGTAAGTGTGTCCGTGTGAGAGAGGAACAGATACTGTAGCTGTGTGAGAGAGGAAGACATGAACTGCAGGTGTCTGTGTGTCATATAGATATGAGGCTGTGTGAATGGAGCACCCACCTCTGTGGGAGCTAGCTGGGCACCTGACTCTTTTGGCCAGCTTTGAGAGTCCTAGCCCCATAGGGGACTGTGTTTCTCACATGTCTCTGCATGTGCAAGACAATGTCACTGTGGTCCAGGTGATGAATCCCTTTCCCTTGTTCATACCTAAATGTCTCAGCTGGCTCCAGCATTCACTTCAGTCAGGACACCAGTGCCTGACCTCTCTTACACCAGGATATATCTTTGAGTGAGTGTTATTGACAAGCCCCAAATGAGTGTCAGGGTCTCTTCCAGTATCTGTAAAGGTCTCAGCAGGTCCATGGTGTCTCTGATCCCAGAGGATGAAGATGCAGGGTAGGGGGACAGAGACAGGGGATGCATCCATTAGCAAAGCTGGAGCTACCATTTTCCCAAAGGCTCATCAGGCATGGGACCTGCCCTATGAGGCAAGGTGAAGCTGGGCAGCCTGCCTATGTCTAGCTTCACCCAACCAATCTGGGGAGATTAACGTGTGTCTGTGTTGAAGAGGCTTCCTGCATCCCACACATGGGTTTGCTGAGCAGCATCCCCTCAGGGTAAAGGCTTTAGATTTTTCTCCAGAGTGTCATTTCTTTCAGGCAAGTTGAGGGAAGTTGCAGGAGCCTGTAGTTTCATTACTTTTTCTCTTGGCTTGGGACTTGTGTAATAAATGATGGTGAATTCAATGCTGTGAGCAACATTTTTGTATTCCTTGAAAGCTACTAACACGCCTCTTGTCACTCTGCTGTTACAGATGTCACCCTTTGTGTACTCTGTGCAGAAGCCTTGATTCTACAAAATGTGCCTCCTTGTGGTCATCTAGATGTGTGTGTTGGTCTCTACATACAAGTTCTCAGCAGTGTTTGGCACCACAAACCCAAGGCCTAAATGGAGCCGCAGTCTCTGCAGTGTCATGTGCCCCCCAGCGCTTTAGTAGTACCCACAGCAGGACTTGTGTGACATGGTGGCTGTGGTCGCTGCAGCCTCCCTTGATCTGGGTGTACGTTTTCGTGTCTGTGACTTTCCAAATTGGGTCTTATTTTTTGATGCAGAGTGCCGAAAGAATTGGTGATTCCCCCATGAGACCTTGTGAGGTTTAGACTGAGGGCTCTTGTACCCATCACTGCTCACTGCCTGCCCCCCTCCCCATTCAGCCACCTGCCCCTGTGGAAATAGAGCTTGATGAAACAGATGGACCTAGGAGGGTTGTGTACAAGCTTTGTCAGAAATCTGTCTTTCTCTGTCTCTCTCTCCCTCACCAACGCTCTGGGACAGAATCTGTTTGAGAGCATC